TACTAGATTGCCTAAGTATAAGCAGAGTTGAATGACTGCTTCAAATGTTGTTTTTGTGACAAAGTTCTAAACTATGGCTTTACATTATGCAAAGTCTGCCACAGTGAAGCACGAGCCTGAGTTTTCTGTTTAAAAGATGCACTTTCCATATTGTAGTTGCCTTTTTCTATCAAAGAAAAGGGTAAAAATGAGAAGTAGAAGATTAATTAGGAGCTTCCTTAATTATTTTTTGAAACACTTTTTCAATTTTTTGCCCTCAACGTAATGGAGAAAGGGCATGATTTAGGAACACTTCTTAGTAGATACAACATAATTTTAAAATATTCATTGCTTTCTTGCTTCATCACAATCGTGATATTATCACATATTTTACAATATATAACTATACAGGAAAATTTTCAGCATTGTTCCAAAGCTGAATAATGTCACAAACATAATAGTTTAAGCTTCCTTGTGATGATTTTTTTGATAAGCAGCTACACGATCCTTATGTACACCCAGCATGATGATTGGCACATACAAAAGTTTGAAAACCCAGAAGGAAAGCAACGTTCCCAAAGCAATCTGAAATCACGCGATAAAGTTACCATTCTGACCAGACTTTTTCATATTCTGAAGTTAAGTAAGAAATTCATGCTATAGATAAATCATCTCGAGCACGCAAGTGATTTTTTCAAACCCGTGATCTTCTTACCACCTCGTGCCAACCCTACGATAGTGAAAATGATTGTTAGCTCCTTACCTGAATATCGTGCTGTACACATCCCGTAAGAATTTCAAATCGACCAAGGCAGCGAACCGCTTGCTTTGCATAATTTTCAGGAGTCACAACAAATAGATTGTTAGCCTCTTCAACGTTGTAGGAGGCGACTTTTGTCGCGACCAGCATTGGTATTAAGCACTAAAATACAGCGCTGGAAGAATTCTTGAAAATTTGTTTTGAATAGATACCTGTATGCGGACGTTAGTGTGGCGAAATTCATCACTAAGGCAATCGGAAAAGAAGGATATTGCAGCTTTGCTTGCAGGATATGCACTTATATAAGGCAGTGGACGCCAACCCTGAACATTAGTTATTTTGTAAAGTCAAAATCTTCAAACTGAATTTTATGCATTATAATCATATCTGCTTGAATCCAGCGAGAATTAACTTAAATTAAGGGGAAGAAGAAAGTTCAGCGTTAAATTTGTAGATACATTCAAATTTTCTAGAGATAAATCAAATTTATGATGTTCTCAAAC